ATTGGGTGTGGCAGGAGAAGTCTGATTTTCTATTGAATAGTTCTGTAACCAAACAAAATTGAAGTTTATAAAAATTATGGTCTGATTCAACAATAACGGTTTTATAGAGTGTATTTTACGTTTAATTTTGTACATTTTCGAGGGGTGATAGATAAAATAGGGATGATGACATGCTAAGACAAAATGTGTCATGTGTGTTGCACTAGTGGAATTTCAGGATTTTTTTATATATCTCCTCGTAGAATTATGAACTTAAAACTTGTATACTATTAAAATATGGATTATTAGTTAAGATTTTATGCTATTCTAATTGGTATAACATAAACAAAAAGTAGTTTACTAAAATTTTGAATGTAAGACACTAAAACTTTGTGTCATGCACAGTAAAGTTTAGCCGGACCAAAAGGGTCAAAGACAATGTTTATTACTGTTGATTAGAACAACATATAGTCAGGTAAGTTTGTTTTGTTAGAGCATAGCAATGTTGGGGTATCTGCTGTTCCACCATAAGAAATCGAATCTCAAATTCCAGCGTTGTAAGTCTGTAAACCTACCACTGTCCCACATGGTGACTGAGAAGCCAACAAACTAAAAGAAGGTGCAGGAAAAAGCAAATCTAAATTTTCTCTCTAGAATGTCGAGGATCACCCTCAATTGCAGCTTTAGAGCTCCCTTGAAAAACACCACGGAACTGAATATATGTCCTCATCTCACTACGAATAAGATCGCTGACAGTCTCAACCGAGTGACCCCCCCCCCCCAATTGTTGTGTGACTCTAGATATTTGAGGTGAGATATTTGTCTCTCATGAAACAATATGTAAACATCTAATAAATATGAGAAAACTCCTTAAAGAAGGTGTTTGGGTGCCTCACAAACTCTCTGATGATCATCGTTTCCAACGTGTGAACGTTGCCTCATCTCTTCTGGTACGTTATGCGTGTGAACTATTTTGGATAGGATGTGACAGGTGTGTGTGTGTGGCATTAGGGGTCTGATTTTTCATTTGGTAGCTCTGTAACCAAACAAAATTGAAGGCTATAAAAATTATAGTTTGTCTGACCAATGACAATTTTATAGTGTATAATTTACATTTAATTTCGTACTTTTTGGAGGAGTGGCGGATAAAATAAAGAGAAAATACCTAAAGAAAATGTGTCACACTAGGGTAAATTCAGGATTTTTTCAAATATTGCCTTGTAGAATTAAGAACATAAAACTTATATACTATTAAAGTATGGGTTATTAGCTAAGATTTTAGGCTATATTAATCGGTACAACATAAACAAAAAGTTTAATAACATTTTGAATTTAAGACACTAAAACCTTGTGTCCCACACAGTAAAGGATACCCTTGGTGATAGGGTTAATCAACAGCATGCTGTATTAATGGCATATACATGAGGGTTAATCAATAGCCTGCTGTATTAACTGTACATACAGAAGGGTTAATCAGTAGCTTATTCTTTTGCATAATATGCAAGGGTATGAAGAGTTGAGATTTATTTTTTTTACCATCCTGATACAATATTTACATAGGATTTCAAAAATTTGCAGCACTAATGCTACTAATTTCTTCTTGTGATTATTCAACTGACAAGCTGCTTAAAATAACAAAAATGAAAACCAATATACTGCTACGGCAGTGGAGGTCACGTGACGCTGGTAACACGTAATGAGTATCTAGAAACATCAAGGAACTTCTCGAACGTCCTAGCAGTTGCTAGAATGGCACTCTTATAGTATATAAGCCAGCAACAATTGAATAGCAGACAGAGAGATTGAAGAGATAGATGGACAATTGGGTCAAGGGTGGTAGTAAGTAAAGTGCATGAATCGTTCATAGAGAATTATAGCGTGTGTTTAAGTTAAAGGGACTGTGGAAATTAAGTGTATTGCAAAGTTGAATTGAGAAAGAATAAACTAGTTTTATTTAAGAAAAAACTTGTATCACTAAAGTTTCTCGGAAAGAATTTCTATGAAAAATTAACAAACGAACACAGACGTAACAAATTGGTGTCAGAAGTGAAAAAGAAAAAGAAGATGGAAACAAGAAGTGGCAAATCAAACTACAGCTTAGCAGATTTGATGGCAGCAATACAAGAACAGCAAAAGAAACAAGAAGAACGAGAAAAGAAACAAGAAGAGAGATTACAGAAGTGGCAAGAAAACCTGCAACAATGGTAGCTCGAACAGCAAAATAAACAAGAGAGATTACAGCAGTTGTTGGAGGAAAAAGAAAAGGAATGAGAAGAACGAGAAAAGAAACAAGAAGAGGGATTACAGCAGTGGTTGGGGGAGAAAGAAAAGAAACAAGAAGAGAGATTACAGCAGTGGTTGTAGGAGAAAGAAAACAAACAAGAAGAGAAATTACAGCAGTTGTTGGAAGAAAAAGAAAAGAAACAAGAAGAGAGATTACAGCAGTAACAAAAAAGGA